GACTATTTTTATAAAGATAGTAAAAGCAAAATCTCGAATGATGCCGACAGTAATAATGTGACCAATGTTTTTTCCCAGTTGATACGCTGGCCAGTAAATAATTTCACTCTTCTTATACAAATCTAGAACAACCTTTTAAAGACAAAAATAGGTAGAAAGAGAGAAGAGAAACCGGTTTTGAATTCTTTTGAATGAATGCAGATCTTTTTAATGTGACGCAGATATAAATAACTGTAAAAAATTATGAAATTCACAAGACTCATATGCGCTAATCGTATCTGCATTCCTATAAAAAAAAGTTAAATGGTGCATAGAGAAGTTGCCGTAATTTGGAATTAAGATATTGCTATAGTTTCATTTTTTTTTTTTTTTTACAATTTGCGTTTCAAAAGACTTTCGGGTAGCATTTTGTTATTATCAATAACTATTTTCCCTACCAATCAACTCCTGTTTTAATTTTGTATGACAGCGTTCCTTAGTTTTTTACTATAGTTAACAAACTAACCTGACAGATCAATTCGCTAGAGTACTGAGTTCCCTCCCAAATTGGCGCTCTATACCCGTATTCTTGAGCCATGCTAAGCTAACATTATTAAATATTCAGATTTCTTAGTCGTGACGCAATGCTTAACAAGCTATTCTTGCTGGCTCATCAGTTCCATTTTCATTGCCTAAACTATACATGTGGGCCCCATACCAGACTAACGTATTGCATTTAACAATATGTTTTTACATCATAATGTTACATTTATGTAATTCAACGAAAACGAAATGGCACAAAGTCACATGAATTTAAGTATACGTATAATTAAATTCTTTTGTTGATTATATTATATACATATTTAAAAACAAGGATATTCAACAATTCCGGATTCAAAGATTCAGAGAAAGTCGTTGGCGGGATTTAACTCTCAGCTGTTCAGGCAGTTGTTTTGTTTTAGCTTTGTCGATGTCAGATCGGAAACGGATCTGGGGGAGAATGTAGTCAACTTTGTTATGCTGGGTCCCGTTTGGTGTATGACAAATCTAATATTATGAGGATAATGATGAAAATATTTCAGTGATTAAATATTTATTATCATCAAATTTTTAAATCTCGGGATGCGTTTTGTAGGTCCCCCTGAGAGGATGCGGTATTATGGTGTATGGAGGATTGATTGGTGACGGACGAGTTTTTGTGGTGAATATGCAAATTGTAACGAGTGGATGGATCGTGAATCGGATTAGCTAGGTATAAGATAGATAGTGAAGACCAGCCTCAACACCTTTCCCCCTTTTTGGCCTTGTGCCATAATTGTATTTTTAATACAATAAATATCAATATTTCAGTGATGATAATAATACTATAATGAGATTGTTCCTAAGTTAGCACGTACGTTACGCGTTTCCAGTACCTAATAAATAATGGAATATTCCGTTTTGATCGCTAGGAAAGGCGGAAAAGAATAAAATAGCAGAAGTAACCAAATATATTTATAGTGCTTGTCATGTAAACAAAAGCTATTACAAGCAAGAAGGTGTTTGATTTATCTTTAATAATTTAATGGGAATAATCCTCATTCACCAGCTATAGATTCTTTCAACGAAAAGAAATGTCCATGGTCGTATAAAAGGCGTCTTTGGCTTTAAAAGATTTGCTCCGAACACATCGTCTTTTTGAGTCAGGCAATTCAGCGATTTACCGTCATCTACAATGATTTTGGAAGATGTCCAAACTTGCAAAACAGTTTTGCTATGACGTAACAGAAATCGGCCGTGAAGCAGGAATGGGCGTCTGCACTTTCAATAAGGTACCTCGCTATTTTGGGGCAGATTAGTGACTGGTTATGGATTATAGCCTGCGCTATCTAGCCGTGTCTGGCAACCATTTTAGGAGAAGTACAGCTCTGAAATGAAAGACTGGTTCATTTGCTAACGAAACCAGAAGCAAACATTACGCTATTGCTGGTAGAGTGAAGTGGGCAATAAATCAGGCAATAGCAAATTTATTCTTGTCCATTTTCCTCCTGTCTTGCATATGTTAACGCTTTGAGCCATGCTTTCCTAAACAATTTTAATCCTTCTGTCTGAGATCCTGAGTCAAAATTCGCAAATAATCGATATGCAATGTTTCACGGTAGATATAAAAATAGTTACAAGTGTTTACCCACCGTTCAACCGGTGTCTGGGTATTAAGTCATTTTTCTCTACCAATGTCCAACCAGTGGCTGGGCATTACGTCATTTTTCTCTACCACCGGTAAAGCGGTGATCAGAGCTCAAAGGGTTTAAATAAATCTTAATTATGTTATATAAATCTTAATTTAAACTTCAGCAATGAGATGAGTTTCAACTTAACAGCCCCACCATTGCAGTCTTAACCTTTTCAAATCTAGAATTAACCATTTTCTTCCCCACATATCATCATAAAGTATGCCTCTTACTCTGTAACCCTCTACCTCGAGTGGCTCTTGGGCCTTGTATAGGTTAGACATTATTGTAAAAAGTTGCCTACTATAGGACACTTGGTATGTAATCCTGGTGAAGCGCCTACTATACAACCGCTTACAACCATATCACGTTGAAACACCGGTTCTCCTACGATCACCGAAATTAAACAACGTCAAACCTGATTAATACCAAGGTAGATGGCCACTTGGGAATATCAGATTCTGTAAACTTGGATGTGCAGGTGGTGTAATGGATAATGGCTCGGAATGTGAAATTGGAGAGCCAAGTTCGAATTGCAGTCGAATTCGTTACATTCAGACATCACTTTCAAAAGGTGGAACGAAAAATGAAATTAAAATTTACACTATTGACTGACAGTATTAAGCTTATATAATATTATATTATTATTATTATTATTATTATTATATATATATATATATATATATATATATATATATATATATATATATATATAATCATAATAATTGGCCACTCGTATTCGAGGATACCCGTCTACTAGGACGGCTAGCCAATCCCTATTGCAAACACTCGCTCAGGCACATTTATGTCTGTTCAACACCCACAGAGCCAAACTGTGGTTTATATTGCAACTATGATGAGCAGACCTTAGTTACAGTCTCTGGGGGAGAGCGTGCTATCGAGAATGATCAACAATCTGAACAAGGCCAGCACACTCAAACCCTCGGTCACGATGACTTGTTCGTGCTAGCACAGCTATCGACGGTCCTAAGTATTCAGTCTACACAATTTCACTCACAAGTCTTGAGTCAACTCGTGGTATGGTTTTCAGTCACTGATATATATATATATATATATATATATATATATATATATATATATATATATATATATATATATATATATATATCAGTACGTGCCGTCAGTAATTACTCAGTGTAGATTGTGAACTTTATGTAGCATATCTACAAAGAAATAAAATATCTTGAATAGTCTTTATAGTTTTGTTAGATTAGGTGCATAGCGTACCACAGAAGGAAAATGTAGCTACAGATCTATTTTATTCAGGGTAGGCACTGACATAGTCTGCACGTCCCTGATATATAACCCTAGGCTATCAGCGCCCGGTAGAGAGAAAGGCGAATTTTTGCGAATTTTTTCTTAAACACGCTAGTGATCAAGAAAACTCTATCGTTTGGGAGAGTCTTGCATTATTAGCAGTAATAGTCGCTGTTTGCAGATTCGCGCTTTCTTCTCCCGCCCCAGTGCTTGACCGAATTAATTTCTTTTCGGGGTCTATATATATATATATATATATATATATATATATTGACTTAAAAAGAACTGTAGACATTTTATCCTTAAGAATTCTTGCGACCAACACTTCTTCAGAAGGATACGTTGGTGTAATTGGGATGAGACACAAGACGATATTCATAAAATCCAAATAGTAAGATAAAAAGATATATGTTCAGAGTGAGTATAAAAAACAAAACTATTACTCACGCCCTCCAAATAACCTTAATGAGCTAGGAAACTGCTCTTTTTGTTTACATAGGCTCGGTTTATGTTTTTCATATAAATCACTTCTAGAATCTTCAGATGATAATCGGACAGAGCTCTATGTAAGATAGTGAAACAATCATCTTTATATTGATGTGCACAGTCAGGGTTGTCCAAAAGGTTCTGACCAATTGCTGAATTATGCACTGCTTGGGTCGTCCTAGAAAATCGATAGAAGATACCTGCATGTACTCGCAGGAATGTGTTAGCCGATACGGGTCTCCAGTCTCCGATTGGTCCGTCCTATGTATTCAGCATCACAGTGACATTTAAATTTATATACCACGGAACTTGGGTACCTCGAGGCGGTGTAATGGTCAGCAAGCTTGTCTCGCTAGAACAATTACGACTGAGTAGTGAGTTCAATCCTCACTGGGTGCCCCATACTTTCGGCCGTTTGCCACATCTAAGCTACGCTTAGAAAATCACTATACCACGGAACTTTTTTTTAAGTAGGTCAGACCGCCCTTTGCGAAAGAGGGGAACATCGGACGGGTCTCAAAAATAACACGTAACTTTACAGTCGAAAAACTTAATGCAATACAAGCTGATACCTTGTCAGCGAGTATTTGACTGTTTCTACCTAGCCACGGCACTTTTAATTAGAGGGGACACAAGGAGGGACCAAAAACTACCGGAAATTTAAACAGCGCGTTCAAACGAATCCAGTGTAGTACGGACTGTGACCACTATCCTTTGAGAGCTGTGTTTTTATTAGCCAATGTATACATCTCTACGGACTCGATTTCGAAATAAATGATGAAATTTAAGTGTTAGAGAAGTATTTTTTGTTCAGTCAAAACTCCAACTTCATGGACATCTCGTGGTTGTTGTATGGTTTTCAAGCTGTTTTTGTTATCGTTATTAGTGAGTTGAATGTTCATTATATGCCCCATACATGTGGTCTTATCCTGAAATTAAATTAAGTTTTATAAATGCATTTTCCTTTGTTTATTTTAGGGTAAATCGGACAAGTTGTCGTTGGAGTTGGATTTGATTCAAGATGATATCGCCAAAAGAGAGACTTTAATGAAATGGTATGAAAACACGGCACAATACCTACAGAAACTGCCCGTCAATATGAGGGACGACTTGGGTGAACTTTTCCCTATGTTTATGGATACGCTGAAATCCCACATTACAGAATTGAAGAAACGTGACTGCGCAATTCTTTTAGCCGGTAAGATTGGTTCTTTCTTTCTTCCAATTCCCTCTGCAATTTTCTTTTATTATACCATTTCTTTTCAGTTCTCTCAGTAATGTGTTGCTTTTTCCCTTCTCTCTCTCTCTCTCTCTCTCTCTCTCTCTCTAGTTTCTTTCTATCTTTCTTTTTCTTTCTCTCAATCTTTTTCGTTCTCTCATTTTTTTCTTTTCGTTTTTTTTCTCTATATATTTCTTCTTTCTTTCGTTCCTTTTCTTTCTCTCGTTCTTTGTCTCTCGCTTTCTCGTTTTTTTCTTTCTATCGCTCTCTCGTTCTTTTGGTCACGTTCTTTTTGTCACGTTTTTATCTCTCGTTCTTTCTCTCTCTCTCTCTCTTTCTCTTTCAATTTCTCTCTTTCTTTTTCTATTTTTCTTTTTCTTTCTATTTTCTCTTTCATTTTCTTTTCTATTTTTTCTCGCTTTCTTTTCAAGTTTTCTATTCCATTTTTTTTTTTTTCTCTGAATTTTTCTTTTTTTTTTCTTCCCTCTTTTCTTTTTCTTCGTTTTTCCAATTTCCTCTGTCCACCTCTTTCTCTATTTTATTCAATTTTTACTTTGTCTACCTCTTTTATTTATACTTTTTACCTTCCTTAATTTTCATTCATTTTTCTGTCTTTTACTTTCTAATTTTTTTCTACGTTCCTCCCTTTTCGCTTTAATAATTTTTCTCTTTTTTTACTTTGCTTTTTCATTCTTTATTTTCCTTAATTTCTTTCTTTTTTTGTTCTTTATTTCTTTTTATATATGTTCTTTCATTATTTGACACTGTATTGGCTTTTGGTGTTTTGTTTTCTGTATTCTTTTTTCATTTGCTACGTTTTCTTTAAGTTTTTTCTCTCCCTTTCTTTCTCCTATTTCTACTTTTCCTTTCATTCTCTTGGCCCATCTCCCCCTTTCTTTCTCTTGGTTCTTCTATCCCTTTCTTTCTTTTGGCTCTTCTCTACCTTTCTTTCTCTTGGTCCTTCTCTCTCTTTCTTTCTCTTGGTCCTTCTCTACCTTTCTTTCTCTTGGTCCTTCTCTACCTTTCTTTCTCTTGGCTCTTCTCTCCCTTTCTTTCTCTTAGCCCTTCCACCCCTTTCTTTCTTTTAGCCATTCTCTCCCTTTCTTTCTCTTGGCTCTTCTCTCCCTTTTTTCTCATAGAAACTTCTACCCCTGTCTTTCTCTTGGCTTTTCTCTCTTTCTTTCTTTCTCTTGGCTTTTCTTTCCCTTCCTTTCTCTTAGCCCTTCTACCCCCTTTTTTTTTCTTTTGACTCTTCTCTTCCTGTCTTTCTCTTGGCCATTCTCTCCCTTTCTTTCTCTTGGCTCTTCTCTCCATTTCTTTCTCTTTGCTCTTCTCTACCTTTCTTTCTCTTATCTCTTATTTCCCTTTCTTTCTCTTAGCCATTATCTCCCTTTCTTTCTCTTGGCTCTTCTCTACCTTTCTTTCTCTTGGTTCTACTTTCCCTTTCTTTCATTTGAATCTTCTCCCCCTTTCCTTCTCTTAGCCCTTCTCTCTAGTTTATTCCTTTCGTTCTTTTTCATTTAATTGAACGCACTCAAGCACACATTTACTTTAATACAGTCACATTGGGCGAAGAAAATTGTGTCGTATCAATCCTTTAAGTGGGAGCAGGTGCTATTCTGTTTATCACTAAATACAAATTTACATCTATAAGGCTCAACGTCTATGTATTTGTCCGCTTAAAACAAATTAAATGTATAAAGTTGGTTACCTCTCTATTGCAAAATGAAAAATTAATATAGGGTCGCCAAACTCTTGCGACATGTGGGCGATTCGTCCGCTTAGGAAAGTGACACATGCTGTTAGATATAAATTAGAAATTTATTTCTTACTCGCATTTACTATGTTCAGCTCCAGTGAGGTGGTGGAGTCATCTCCCAGATGGAACCATTCCAATTGCACTGAGCGGGAGGTCAAAATCAATCCTCAATACCTGAGACGTTTCACAAAGAAACTGCTGAGAGAGACTTAGTCACTCCAGGTACGTGTGTTTTCACACATGAACCCGATCTTGCGTCAAATTTGCCTTCGTGCAGAGCAAATAAATAAAATAAAACCGCATTCATTAGATGCTAACACACACTGACAGAAAATGAAAGTCACTTTCCTAACCGGAAGAAACGCCCACGTGTCGCTTGCGTTCAAAGTGATTTACTAGGCGTAGTTTAGATATGGCATAAAACTGCATATTTGGAGTACCCAGTGAGGATCGAGCTCACTGTTTAATATTTATTTGAACAAAAGGTACAAAATATGTCACAAGGATTAAAATATGACGAGGTACTGGTCTTAAATTAACCTAGCTAGTCTCGCTCCATGAGCCTTGTACATACAATTTCCTTTTTACCATATCGACACATAAACTCTCAGGAGTCCCACCAGTCTTCAAAATACCTCATTTACTCAATGAAAGTCCGAAATTAAATTTTTTGTTTGAACAATTCGGGATGGGGGGGGGTCAAACAATCAAAACTGCAATGATTTTTATACAATGAAATATATATGTGCAACAAACTAAACAAAAACAGTACCATTATTCGTCCCCCACTACGAAACACTACATGTAACAGAAAATCTCCATGTAGACGAAAAAATGCAAGACTGGCTAAAAAAAAATAAAAATAAAAAATTATACCCACCTAAGAAATCTGTCACTTAATAGTGGAAGGGATGGAAAATGGAAATAAAATGACGGACCGAAAAGGTGGGGGCGCCTATGCTCTTGTCAATTTAGCGGTTCTTAACGAAAGATAAATAGCGTTTTTAACACAAGAAAAAATGGCGCGTTTTTCCGACGCTCCAAAATCAACGGATTTTAAGTTTAACTGAAAAACATAAATATTGCTTAAAATATATTTTTTTAATCATTTCACTCTTAGCAAGGCAATACGGCCACTAAGACACAACGAGTTACTGAGTGTTACAGAATATGAAAAAAAAGACATTATTAGGAGAGAAAACAATAAAACAAGAATTATGAAGACAATAGCTAACGATTTACATTTCATTAAAATCTTTTAAAGTCAAAGTTGATTGGGAAGCAAAAAGTCGGGAGATAGTTCCACAATCGAGAAGTGAGACAGAAGAAACTGCTACCAAAGAACTTACGGTTATATCTAGCCATTTCCAACTGTAAAATAACGAGACTTGACCGTCAATCTGTTTTCTTATTGGACGCAAATTCATAAGGTCTATGTACCCTAGAGGAAATGACACAGGGAAACTACATTACGGCGGTGGGAAAGTAACCAGATGCTTGGAGTAAATTGAGGCCGACAGCCTAAGAAGCTAGTCCACCTAGTGGTAGGATTTTTAAACCTCCGCTGTTTTGCGGCCATATCCAAATACGGAAAGGCACTCTAGGCAGAAAACCCGGAATAGAACCCCGAAGGCGGTTGGCTGTCAACACTGACAACTTTCCGGCAACTACTGCAGTTAAGTCAGCCTCAAATGTAATGCCATTCATTCTTTTGGGTTCTTTCGGTATGGTCGAGGGGGTGGATGTAGTCTGGGCAGGGGATGACCTCCATATACCATCGCCTAGACTTGCATCCTGGAGAGATCACTCCAGTTTCACCACCAAAGGACTGAATTTTGACCAAAGAGGGCGCTATCTTTATCTCGCAAAATAAACTACTACTTCATGAAATTAAATATTTTACATATTCAGCTTTATAGATGTGTGCTTAGCGTAGATGCAGAAAGCTAGATTAGCGTGTCGAGTATTTCTTTATACGCATTTTAGCAGCTTGTGTCTGTATAGTTAACATACACGGATTCATCTTTTAAAGATAGATGCGTTTTAGTCCTTTCGAATCTCATCTTTTGTGATCATTATAAATAAGCGATTTTTTATCGCTTTTATAATGAAATTGTCTAGTTATTCAAATAAAGCCATTTTTTACCCTGAAGTGGAAACCAGCTTAGCATTTAAATCACAGATTGGAAGCCAACAGAAGTACGCAATACATAAAGGGAAGTAAGCATGTTGGCAGTTTTAATAACATATTTTGAAAGCCTAACAAATATAAATTATAATATATTGATATTCCGTAATAACTACCCAAATGCTTTAACGTATCGAACTTCTTTACGACCATTTCACTGACACAGCTTATGCAAATATCTCAGAGAAATAGCTGCATAGCAAAGGAAATTAACTTGACCAGCGCAACATCAGGTATCATTGTTTGTACAGGTAGAGAATTTGAAATTCTTGGGCCCGAAAGTGCTTCCGTTTTCAGATTTTTTTCCGGGTTTTGAAATACAAGCTATTTAATTTGTATATAGCATCTATGAAATGGAGCTGCTTCAGGGTGGAACCCAACCATAAATACGATGTCTCTTTACATTTCATAACACAGCTTGTACATATACACTGAAGGTAGTTTTATATAAGTAACATATACCCTGAAAGTAGTTTTATATAATTTTTTTTTAAATTGTGAACATACAGATACAGGTAATGACGCTAGTCTTGTAATATCACACAATAATATTTTGTATTTTCTGTACGTATACAAAAAACATGATGTGGTGGAGACATACCTCGACGAAGCAAGGCGAATTGTCTGTACATGTGTTTGTAGACATCATAGACCTGCGAGGCGAACTTCGGTAAATTAATGTTGAAGTGACACAGCGAATGCGTTATATGCGTGAACGAGGCTAACACAAGCGGCGAGAGATGTCGGTTTCTTGCCCGAGACAAAGGAAGAATAAAAAGAGGTGACTTTTTGATTCAGGAGCAATTTGTTCTTTGAGTCTGATGAAAGTTATACCCGTGTTCCAGAGAAAGAGCGATAGTACTGTTGTTTACGGTGTGCAGGAAACAGAGTCCCGAGAGAAGCGTTGTTCCGGTTTCCATGTTAACTGTCAGCGGGAACAGATTTGAGTGGAAATTTATTTTCCTACCACCCAATTTTCGTTTAAATCTAACACATGGCCACTAAAAGATATAATATATATATATATATATATATATATATGTGTGTGTGTGTGTGTGTGTATATATATATATATATATATATATATATATATATATATATATATATATATATATATATATATACGATTATATATATATGCGATTATAACGATTTTTTTGTGTTTCTCGGCGCTCTCGTCAGTTCACTCATCCAATTCATGTTCGGATCTTGGTGTCACATTCTCTATACACTGTTAAAACGCTTCCCATATATTTAAACTTCTACATTTGCTTCATGCTATCTGAGCTTTAACAAAGAAGATGATAGGATTGATGGTACGTTATACAAGACTCTAGTTAGTGTCTCATGGAAAGACTACAAAGCAAATAAGGAAACGGTAAATTTGTGACTGCGATTTGTGGGACACACTTGAAGAAGGAGGAAAGAGCTTTTAAATCAAGTTTCTTGTGGCGAACCTAAACACGGAAAACGGAAGTGAGTGAGACTTACTGAAACATATGTGAATCAGTCAAAAAAATAAAAAACGATACTGGTTTGAGGAGTGAATAACTAATCCAGATCTTGGAAGACAAAGAAGAATGGAAGAAACTAATCAATGGCGTTAAAATTCAATCGAAATATAAACCAATAACGATCGAGCTAACTACTAAAGTAACATTCTGCTTTAGAAAATTAACTCTTTAGTGTTGTATCATTTTTTTTTCAATGGTGGTGGGTGTCTTTATGCCTTAAGAATGAGTGTTCACAATACGGGACACAAATTCAAATCTGATATGTAAAATCCAAAGTTTGTGCTTGTCTGCACAAAACACTGAAAATTAAACGTTTTCGATCAGTGTTTGTTTGAATGTGTTTTGAAATATTCCGTAAAACAATTCTACCTATTAAATGTCACTTTTATTTATCCGCTTCGAAAGAGAGCAAATTTGACACAAAGTCGGTTTAATGTGAGGCCCTCAGGCGTACGTGGGGCGGTGAGGGAGAGAAACGAAAAAGTGGCCAAATCCCCCTCAAAAATTTGTTTGTGAAATGCCTTGGGAATTAGGGATTACCCCTGACCTTCACCCACCTGGTGCAATTGAAGAGGTATTGACTGAAGGATCCCCCCACCGGATAAGCTTTTTAGTTAGTTTCACAACGAAGTACTGCATATTAAGTTTGCGAAACACCTACTAGCAGGACTTGTATCTGGAAAAACCTTTGTTCTTCTCTAAAAATTATTAATGCAGTTTTCATTTGCAAAAAAAAAAAAAAAGAATTATTCTTACAATCCAAATATACTTCAGCTTTAACCCACAAAATGTTGATAAACTGTAAAAAAATAAACAAATCACTCAATTTTGCTTTTAAATTCAGGAGTATTTTGTGAGTTCGACTTTTCTTTATATTCGCTCTCGCATATAGACCTCGCGAAGCGTCGATAACAGACGTTGAAACCCACTCAAATTTTTGTTCGTGAAGCTAAATTTTATTATAACTTGCCGGAGAACTGAAAGAATGTTTTACAGAAAGGCGTTAATGAGGGGGTGGCTGATCCAACTAAACATTCTCCTCCTCACTTCTTTGACAGCCATT